GCGTTCTTCATCGGAAGAATTAGCGTACTGATGGTACGGCTTAAGCCGACCAACGTAAAACGTGGGATGCGTTCGCATCTTACGTGGCAGTTCAATCGTGTAGGCATTGCCTAGGCGGTGCAATACACGAAATGGGCCGATGTACTTGGGTAGTAGTTTACTACTACCCAAGTTAGTCACTACATGCTTTGGTAGATTAACCGTAGACAGTAGGACTAAGTCACCTTTATTAAATAAAAGAGTGTTTGCGTGATGAGCGTGAACCAATTCGGTTTTTGCTCGCGCGAGTCCCTCCCCCCCTTAAACCAGAGTTACACTCTAGAAAGGTGGGCACACGCGAATGGCGTAAGCCATTCACGTAAAACGGTGTATGGGTCGTGGACGCATGCACCGAGTTGTTAATGGCAAACTCTACCATTGGCAAAAACTCATTACACTCTAAAAGGAGTGTACGTATCCTCGAAGTATCTCTTCAAGGACACGATTGGCACGTTCCGTCTGACCATCTGACTCTGGATGATCAGATGTCGACATCTTCAAGCGCGTTCTGAGTGATTTGAACACGGAGCGCCAGAAATCAGCAGTGAATCGTGGATCTCTGTCTGATACGAGTTCACGGGGCAACCCACGAAGTCGGAAGATGGTGTCAATAAAGACACAAGCACAGCCACTTGCCGTGATTGACTCTGGTGCAGCCACAAGGTGTACCATTTTGCTGAATCTGTCAACAATTACGAGAATACCCGTATTCCCGCGTGCGTCTTTGGGTAACCCGAAGACGAAATCCATTGGGATAAATTCCCAGCACTCAGCCGGAACCGGTAGAGGCTGTAAAGGTGCACGCAGTGAAGGACTTGACTTCACTCGTTGACAGACTTCGCATGCGCGAACATACTTTCGCACAAACTGGGACTGGCGGGGCCAGTAAAAGTCTCGACTCACCGTGAGATATGTTTTCTCCCGGCCACGATGTCCTCCTATAGGAGCATCGTGATACTTGAACATGATCCGCAAACGCAGATCAGTATCTTCTGGAATGACAACACGTGGTGTGTCACCAGAAACGGCTGTATAATACAGTACACCGTTGCGAGTAGTGTATCGATCTGCATGCAGATCGATACGCAGGCGAAATTGTTCCAACGATTCTCGAGATGGTTGGGAGAGATGTGTCAACAACTTCACAATCTCACCATCTTGGGCGTATGCCCGCCTCACATCATCATGCAACGTTGAAGATGGGACTGAGGACATCATAACCGCAACAGTGACTGTCTCACTGTTGGAGTTTACGACTGGTTCAAAGTCGGGACGACGTGAGAGTGCATCAGCGACGACATTAAGTCGTCCTGGTTTGTACTCTACTATAAACTTGTATGCTGCAAAGAATGACAACCACCGCGCCATTCGTTGTGAAAGGTGCGGGCTGTTCACTGCCGTGTGTAATGACGCATGGTCAGTGTAAACAATGAAGGGTCTATCTCCTAAGAGATAGACTCTGAACTTCGCGAGTGCATACTTCATGGCAAGGAGTTCTTTGTCATGCACTGGATAGTTCCGCTCAGCTGGTTGCAGCTGACGCGACTGATAGCAGACGACGCGTTCAACGCCTTCAAGACCGTACTGCATTAATGCACAGCCGATTGCGAAATCGCTGGCATCACAGACCACATGAAATGGCATGTCCTGATCGGCTATTGCTAGAACTGGGGATTGTATCAAGCAGAGCTTGATACCATCAAAGGAGCGCTGACATTCAGCGTTCCATAACCACCTCTCGTTCTTTTTCAACAAACAAGGGAGGTGTACAGTCATCGTCATATTGGGTATCTTCTAGCGTATAGTGGATCTTCACTATACGCTTCGTGCCGGTTACGGATGCGCCTGTCGCATGACGTACCGTCATCCTCGTTGGAGGTGTGTCACATTCACTGAACTCAAAGTGACCATCTTCTAGCGATTGGCGTCGCACAAAATTTTTGGACGCCCCACAATCGACTAGAGCTCGAAGGGACAACTTATTCGTCACTTCGAGTTTCAAGGTAATGGGTGAGATCTCATTACCTAGAGCAGCAACGCACAACGTTTGTGTGTTGGGAGCAACCTTCATCAAGAGGCCTACAAATTCTTTTGACGTTGCTGGACCAGTAAGGTGCTCCGCACCTACTGATCCTGTCTGCTTTTTTACGGTCCATCCCGTTGTTGCATCCTTGCACCAACAGCGGACCCGCGTCCCTGCTTCTTTTCTCATGGGTGGACGGTCACTACGCCCAGTGTTGCGAGACACTGGACGAGGGGCACTACACTCGTAAGCGTAGTGTCCTGTCTTTTGACATCTGTTGCATCTCTGCAACTTCTTGTAGCCTGTGAGGCGAGCCTTCTCGCTCTCTACGTAACAGAGTTCCATCGGCTCTGGACCTCCGTTGTCATATCGTCTCGGTTGACGATATGATGTCGAGCTGGCGCGAGCCTATCTCAGACTGAAGTCTTCCTGTTCCGCAATGGAAATGGCTTGTTCTAGTGAATCTAGTTCCGGAACAGGTGAGTCTTGACGGGACCATCCGCAAGACCCTGCATGAACACCGAAACCAACGTGTGTTCATCCACCGGATTGGAACTTATACAACTCGTGAGATGTCGTATTTGTTGCGCGTAAGCGTGCACATCACGCTTACCTTGTTTGAGCTTCAAGAGTTCAGTTCGAGCTCTGAACTCAGCTCTAGGCGGTTCAAACGTTTGTCTGAGCCGCGACTTGAAGACTTCCAACGACCCAAACGCATATGGGTCGTGCAACTTGAGCCCCAGTGCCTAAGTCTTGGCCCATCCTGCCAGATTTGACTGGGCAAATGCAACTTGCATTTCCCCATCGTCGATGTGACGCGACCTTATGGCGTCATCCAATTCGACGAACCATCTCAAGAGGGATTCCTCTTCGACTCCCCTATACTTGGAGATGTCAATCTTCAAGGTTTCGGGTCGACGCGAGTGCATCGACCCACCAGCAGCAGCCTGCTGCTGTCTCAACAGTTCAAACTGTTGGGCACCCTGTTCTCTCAACAACTCTGCTTGTTGAGAACCTTGTTGGTGAAGCAAGGCTACTTTCTCGCGTTCAGCGTCAAGTTCATTTTGAATGAACTTGGCGATAGTAGCATGTTGGGCATCTCTATTGAGAGCCTCTAGCATGACGCTAACAGCATGGATGCCCATGGTTGAACCCATCCGTTCAACCGCATCCCATTCGACATCGCTCAAATGGGAGTAGCCGTCACGCGTAGCGTAAAATCTTTGATCATCTTCATCATCCAACATATTCATGTTAGATGTGAACGCGGTCCTTGGACGGACTACGAATTGCTACCAGGTGTAACGGGGCACCCTGAAGCTTGTACTGATGACAGTACAAGCTACTTATTATGATAACAGAATAAGGCGGAGCCTCGGAACTTCACGTACACTCGTACGTGCAGAGGAAGACGGTAAGGAGAAGCGAGTACTTGGTTAAAGTAAAAAGTAGAACTGTATTTAGTATAGTTAATGTCTGCAATAAATCACTATTTATCTTCATCTAACTATGTCTAAATACAAATGTGTAGATCAATTATCTGCTCACCACTCATTGCGTGCGTCTGTCGTGCGCGTCTTCGTTGGTTGATATAATGGCCTACATCAATTAATTAGGAACTACTCGTAAGTGCTGCAGAATATTTGTCCTTATGACAACATTCTGAGAATAAAACTCTTATCGTTACATTCTATTAACAATTTCTTATAAATTGTTATGTAACGATTCACCCCGTTACACATTCGGTATAAGTAGCTTGTACTATGACAAGACAAGCGACCGGTGCCCCGTTTTAGTATCTCAATTTCCTCCGTCGAAGGAAGAGACCAAGATAACTTTGCTCGACAAGGCGGAGAAGCGTTAGTGTGAGGCTGGGCAAAATTTACGGTTAAGAGATGCCGTTTACGTCAGGCATGGCAAGACTGGTAACGAAACAAACGGGCATAAAATGTATTGGATTCTCTCGCAAATACTGTCGCAGACATGGGTCAGAGTTTGCAGATTAAATGTCTCGTCTTTGAACATAAGATTGGAAAGTATTCACGAAAACAATGACTTTCTAAATCTTACCAGTCAGAAAGACTCTTCGTTTAGTAAATTCTGAAAAAACATAGAGCGTGGTGGTTGGTAGCCTCCTGTGTTGCAACCTCTCACATACTGTCCTCTTTGTCGATCGCTTTCAGCCAATCATCGGATGCCGATTCGGTCATTCCACGCGAATCGAACGACCTGGTCCACTATGTACGCAGGCAAATCTTCGCTTATCACGTCGGTTCATAATGTACTGTTTTACGAAGATTTTAGAACCGACTTCTCTGTTCGATGGGCTTGAAGTGCCACTTGTCGCCTGACTATACTTCGTTGTGATGCTCTTGGGCACCTTTGGCATTGTGCACATGAAAAACCAAAGGGGCGGATAGGGAGATCACTTTTCAAATACTTGAGGTTCACTTGAATTTGCGCACATTTTCAGTCAACGAGCGGGTCGCACTGGTCAACAAACACTGTCAAGCCTCAGCTCTTGCGAAATCGTTCGAGTCCGCGCTTGACAAGGAGTTCCGTAGCCAGCTTTCGGTTGTGAACCATTAGTTTCCAGCCCTTGTGAACCATCCCGAATTCCATGTAGTCGCTGGCTGTTGTGGCTCTGATCGCTGAAGGTACAATTTGGCGACGAAGGAAGATAAGGAGATCCCGAACAAAGTGACTGCTGCTTCATGCGAGGAGGTACGAAAGCCCGATCGCCGATGTGTGTGCTATCTGAGTGGCCGGCGTCGATGCAATCCGACTGCAGTACGGAACGGGACTCGACACGCGCCATGACGTGTATGTATGTGAGAGAACTTGGACATGGAAGGCAACAGTGGTTACAGTATGACAACGAGAAGACAAAGATGTTCATAACGTGCACCCTGTGTGGCTTCTGCAGCACTCGGAAGGTATGCACAAGTACACTCTCGGCGTGAAGATTGCGTGTAGTGTTGGAGTCTCGGTCATTACCATCACTGGCACCTGGCTGTTCCGTGGCGACTCGGAGAAGCACATGATTAAGGCTATATGGATGGCAGTACTGCACATGGAAGAAGAGTGAAGTTGAAGGACATGCCACAAGACCGTGTTGTCGTAATTGGTCCAGCGAAGATGAGCTAGAGAGTACGCCCATAGCTGACTCGAAGGTGTTCAAGTTAGATTCGATAGGCGTCGCGTGGGGTAAACACAAAAAAAACTGTTACTGACGCCTGGACTTCAGCTATTGATGAAGATACGTCACTTGGGCCAAGTCGGCCGCGTATCCTGTTTGAATGGATACGGGTCAAGTCACGTGCTACGTTTTGCGTATAACAAACAAGACTCCACCCAGCTCCAGCTTCAGTCCAGCACTTTGACAGGCTTCCGTCCCCATTGGTGTATATATTATTTATCACGGTTCAACACCCCAGCCGACTTCCGACTGTTGCTCGTGCACTTATTGTATTTGACAGGTAATCAAGTCGTACGGACAACATTCCGATTTGTTTTAACCACTTGTGAAATTGCTCGCCAAGAAGGAAGAGAGCGAGAGAGAGAGAGAGAGAGGGAGAGAGCTATCGTCGTTGTCGTCTCGCTCCTTGCACTGCACAGAAGCAAGGGACCCTACGCCAGCGCTTGAACCACCGCATCGATACTCGTTTACCTCCAGATCCTCGTGCGTGACGTGACTGACAGACAAACAAACGGACCACTCCAAATCTGGTCAGATCTAAACCGCATCCAAATCTTATTCGATCGTTGCCTCAAGCGCAAAACAAGACGTTGTATCAGTTTTCAGAGGGATGGGCGACGCACCGCCGCTTGAGCGAACGAGCATCAAGGCGTCGGAACTCGTGCATCGTGCCGTCGACAAGAGCTACGAGGACTTTCGGTCGCTTATGTTCCATCTGCCTACACTGCGCGAAGAAGAGCGACGAGAGCCGCTGCTGGCCCATCTCCAGAGTGCGCGCAAGCGCTTCGCGCAGCTGCTGGCCGTGCTCAAGTGGTCGGTTCAGGCGCCGCTCCTGCACCAGTGCGACTCGTTGCTGCAGCACACGAGTGCCTATCGCAACAATGTGAACGAGACGAACGACCGACTGTTCTTTATGCACGCAGATCTGAACCGTGCCAAAGAGCGACGGTACGACCTCAGTACTGCCGTGGACGTGCTCTATGGTGGCAGCTACTTACGGCTGCCAACGATAATTAAGAACGCAATGTTCCCTCGTGAATTACCTGAAGTGGACATTGAACAAGCAGCAACGGAAGTGACGGACTTGATTCGGTTTCGTCTGATTGAAGCCGAGATCCCAGAGCAGGTCTCGAACATCAAACTCGAAGGAGGGTTTGTCACCTGCCAAGCACAAGGAGAGTTTGAGATTGTGTTGACGCTCCAGGGCAAGGAAAATGATGCTAAGTGGCGTGTGATTAGTGTGAACACGGCGCTTACTGACCCGCAGGCTTTCGGAGACCATGCTCGAGCTGCGTCCACGAGCGCCCTGCGCATTATCCGCACAAATGCACCCAGCGCAGCACACTACAATCACTTGAAGAACCTTGTGCAGCGTGCTATGAACAAGTCAGAGAAGCCGTTTGTGGACGCGTTCGTGGTGATGCGCGAGTTTTGCTCGTCACTCGCATTGCAGATTCTCGCTTTACAGGGAAAACTGCTGATGGAAGGTCGCTGGAAGAATCGCATCATGATTACACACCATCGTGACCAGAATGTGTTGGACATATGTTACTGGCCCAAGGCTTGTACACGGAAAGATGCACAAGCACTAACAGAACAACAGCGCCTGATTCAACAACTAGGCGACCCAGTGACAACAGTTCAAAATGGGTCTGCGCTGCCGTATCCTGGATCGAGCTTGTGTGTTCGATTGAGCTTTGATCCGAACAAGAAGAAGCTCCTTTCTGTTAGTCTTAGTCCGTCGCTTCCACCAAACCTGCCCGGGTATGCAGCACTATTGAGCGCATTGGAGGTACCATCCAACATGTTTTTGCTTAGTGCCGAAAATCTGCTGATCGCGGCCATGCGTGCTCACGTGTCGGCAGCTCTTTTCTCAATAGGTCGACTGCTTGTTGTCGATTCTCCAAATGAGAAGGCTTCAACACAACTTGTTTCTGGCGAAGATGTTGCTATGGTCTGTTCCGATACGAGTTTACGGATCGCACGGGCAGATATTGGTGGACTGCAGCAATTTTTGGAGGTGACATTTGACATTCGCGATGGTCGATTTATCGTGAACTCCGTCGCTGCCACGAAGCATTCCGCGCTTTATAACACGATGAAACAATTAGAGCAGGTATTGGATACGCGATGCAAAATCGAGCTTGGAGGTAATATGGACGATTCGATTCCGAGCGATTTTGCTTTAGTTTCCGGTGATAGAAATGATGACAAGTCAAATGATGTGATACATGGGTGCGTGCGTAAGGTTCTGTGCGAAATCGTGGCTGACGAGATAGCGCAAATTGGCTCTTCATTTAAGGGCATTGAAGTATTACGCAATGTCAATTTGAACTGGGAGCGGTATCTTGCTTTTAGACAGCAGCAAGGTGGACAGACTGAAGATTTGACAATCTCAGATACAGCGCTGTATTTTCTGCTGACGTCGTCCAAGGAGTCTACATGTTACTTGGTTATTGAAATCGATAAGTATGGCGAAGTTGATGGGGTGAACGGAAGTGTACATGAAGCCACAGAAGTAGAAGAGTATGTACGATTGCCATGTTTTTCGTTACTTCAGACGAGTGTAAGCTTGCCAGGACAGCCTTCTGGTGTACAATTTATTCAGCGATTTGGCGCGTTCAAAAAGGCAGATCTGCGTCCATCTGTCACTCGCCACAACGAAATAATTGTCAGTGGTTTTCGTGGCAATACTCGGAAGCGTCCATACAGTTCGTATGGCAATGTTTTGACTGGAAGTAATATGAGATCAACCAAAAAGACGCTCCTTGAGAGTGGACGAGTACAAGAGAGTACAGGCTACTGGCTGGACGACGCCGAAAGTTGCGCAGTCTCTTGCAGATTCGTTCCCCATATCGCGTCAGTACTGCTGCACGCGATCAATGCGTGCAGTGAGAGAATTCAATTGCAACACTTCGTCAACTTTGCTCGACGGCGCAAGTCAAGGATTCGCTACTCTGGAGAAGCTGGTACTTTCAACGGAGAGGGTACAGGTGGCCAAGTCGTTACACTTTCGTTCCCAGAAAAGGTCAATACGGATCCATTAACGATCGTAGCGATCCAAGGCCACCTGAAACATAGCGGAGGGTTTGAGCTGTGTCTTCAGCTGGCCTCAGTGCCGTTCAAGTTTATTCTTCCGAAGAGGCCAAAAGAGCACTTGTTATCTGATCGCTCGCATTATGTTAACGCCCGCGGCCAACTGATCTTTAAGTACCCAACGACGTTGGTAGCTGGTGACGTTTTCAGCGAGAACCCGTTGGAAATGTTCATGGTTGAGCTCATCTGTGTCGTGCGGCCGCTTTGTGAACTTGCTGTGAAGTTGGAGAAAATGCTGACCGCAGTAGGTCGCTATACTAATGACATCAAAAGCGACGGGCATTTTTACGTCGAAAGTGCTGACCCCTTTGCAATTGTGCTGGCTTGCCGAGCACCGAACCCAAGGCATTGTGTTGCTGCCGGGTCATCGCCGGATGGCATGACGACATACCGTGCAACAGTGCAGTTTAAGCAGAAAATGGGTTTTGTTGTCAATTACAGCCACAAAGCTGAGCATCCGTTGATGCACTTCATCCAGTCAGCGCTGAATGGACACAGTGACCCAGCGCAATTTGTAGAAGCGTTGGAGCGCACGTGCATTCCGATGGGTATTTTGGCAAGCGTTGTGGAGTCCCAGCTACTTTGCGCCAAATATTACCGGCAAGATCCTGTGCCCGATGCGAAGGAAGACGTGGCAAATGGTGGTCCAAAGGCTTTTGCTCGAGGCAGAATGGGTGGCAAGGGAATGAAGCTGGGCTACAAGTTCAAGCTCCCTGGTGAAGAGAAGGGCTACTATGCTGAAAAGTCGTATGGCGGTGACGACAAGTCTTTTGTACCTGCCGAACTAGTGATGATCCCGCGGTCACAAACACAAGTTCGCCTGTCCTATGGAGACCGCTGCGCCGTAGATATTTATTTCCTCGAGGTACGAGTTACTGTTTCGAGCTGGGGAGGTCCTGATTGCTTTGTTGACATCTTGTTTTCCTCAGAATCATTCGGTGAAGATGCAGAGCTCTTTAGGAGGCGTACGCGTCCCCAGCTGTTCGTTTGAGAAGGGCATCGTCGTGGATTGCCACAACTTTGCTGATAAGCTGCGCAGCACGCTGTCGGAAATGGCGTCGGCTTAAACGCACATGTTCTGCCGGATCCCTCTTTGAACGCGCGCATTACGGACAGCCCGTGCTGCGCGCAGCGCTAGGTTTATGGTACAGAGCAGGCGTGAGGGCAGGCACCGGCAGAGCGATGATAGAATAGTGTGTACAGCAGGAGAAAGCTGGTGTGGAGCAAAGAGGACGCTGTCGGGACGGGTGCACGGATAGTGGTTGTGACGGAGGATTCCACGTCATCGAACGGCTCAAATAAAGGGTGACAGCAGAAAAACACGTCGAGTTTTCTGGTGCAACCGTACAAGGACTAGCAAGCAGCTGCTAGCTACTCCATTCTACAGGTACGCCTGCCAAATGACAGTCTGCCACCTTACAATTCCGTCTTCTCGTTCTGCTTCTCCTGGAAGAACGCGAGGATGTTCTTGCGCAGGCCAAAGAGCGTCTTCTTTTGCGCAGTCACGTTGTCGTTGGCCAGCAGCCCCTCGAGGCGCGTGATCTCCGAGTCCACGTACGAAGGGCCCTTCGCCACAATCTTCTTGATCGTCTTCAAGTACAGCAACCCGTACTTGGCGTCGCTGCCCTCGAGGCCGTCAACAATTGTCTGCGTCTTCTCCAGCACATCTGCCGTGATACCGCCACTCGCCGTGATCGCCAACTCGATCTGCTCAACGCGGCCAGCAGCAGTCGTAAGACTTCCATCCTCCGAACGGTGCGTGCCCGCTTGCTCGTTGATAAACTCAACAAATGAGGCCTTGTCCCGGCCATTCGAGTAGTCCTCTGGCTCGTCCGCTCCTGGAGGAAAGTAGAACAACGTCGGGTAGCCCTTGACATTGTAGCGTTTTGCCAGCTCGGGGTTGGCCGTTGCATCCACTTTGGCAATGAGCACATCGTCTTCGCCCTCAAAGATCCCGCCCACTTCCTCATAGATGGGAGCGAGACTCTTGCAGTGGCCACACCACGGCGCGTAGAACTCGACCAGCGCGTGTTTGTTGGAGTGGATCACTTGTTCGTCAAAGTCCGAGTCCGTCAGCGCAGCCACGTGACTCGGGGGACGAACCACCTGCACGTTCGTACCGGCTTTGCCGTTCAGAAACGCCACAAAGTCCTCTTCACTGCGACCGCCTTCGTAGGCTGCCGGCTCGGTCGAGCCCTTAGGAAAGTACTTGAGCGTCGGGAAGCCCGTGACGCCGAACTTGGTGCCAAGGTCCTTGTAATTGTCGGCGTCAAGGTCGGCCACCACCACGTCGTCCGCTTTCTTAAAGGCCGTCGCGACCGTCTCGTACGTCGGCGCGAGGCTCTTGCAGTGGCCGCACCACGGCGCGTAGAACTTGACCAGCACGTGCTTCGAGCCGTCAATGACTTCATCGAAGTTGTCCGGCGTCAAGACCATCACGTCGCCAGCTGCCACGACGCCGAGCGCCGTTGCCGCCGAGTAAACGGCGAGTTTCCACGCTCCCATTGGCTTGTTACTCGTGCAGCTCTTGTCGAAATGGCAAATGATCGAGCAGGGGGGACGGCCGAGTCAAATGACTTGAGTTTAGTAGGGGAGTGACGCGTGGCAGGACAAAGGCATGTCGAACGTACAGAATGGGTTGGGTTTTAATTTCAGAAATGAATAGCTTGCTCCGGTTTGGACTCTTGTAGAACTTTATACGAACCGTCAGTAGGAAAACATCGAACAAATGGGTTCATTCAGCCATATGTCGTGCATCTGATTCAGTCAATGATTAGTGACCGTGCGAAACGAATAGTGACAACAGCCGCTGTCAATCAGGTGTCAACGCGATGTTGACGGCAAACAAATCCTACTTGTTGGCTCCAGCAGCGATGGCTCGTTCATTATAGTGCTCTGGGCCGAGACTCCTTCCGGCTGCAATGTGTATCTCGTGAAGTGTAGCGCAGCCTTATAATCGTCCAGTCCCCGTTTCGAGTTCATTGCAATCTCCTTTTCGTCACCCGATTTAATCCACGTAGCGTGTGGCATGGTGGACGCCGAGCTCCTCGGGCGACACATCCGATCCGTTCTGCTCTTCCTCGATTACGTTCGTCTCCTCGTTCTGTACAAACCCGACGGACACAGCACAGCCAAAAAGGTCGATGAGGTTTCGACTACGCAGAATTGTACCAGAAAGTTGCATCCTGGACAAACACAAACACAAGCACGTACCGCGCGTACGAGTGACTCTTTGCGCACGTCGTTCTCGAGGAACTGCACAATCTCCTCAAAAGGGGGACGCATCGACTGGTCGTCCGAAGTGCAGCGCTCGTAGAGGTCACGCACGCTGGCCATGCAGTTCTTGCTCAGCGACGGGCGAAGATTGTCGTATGCCACCATGTGCATCAGCGTGCTACCCGACACCTTCTTGTTACGAGCACCTTTGGCCTTGATGTCGTGATACGGGATTTTTCGCGTGTCCAGCTCCGCCAACACTGCATATCGTCAGACATTAGCAAATTGACGCCGTGTAAACCCATCCTCTACCGCGTTGTGTCACGTACCGATACCAAAGCTGTAAACATCTGCTTTCTCCGTGTAGCGCTCTCCGCGGATCATCTCGGGTGGCAACCACAGCGGTGTTCCCGTCACGCTCATCGTTTCGTCGACGGACTTTTCGCGGCTTAGACCGAAATCACTCACTTTGGCACCCCACGTGGAGCTACAGTTTGGCAAGCGACCAACAGATGACAACAGCACATTACTCACCCGGTACACCAACCCAACGCGAGTACTACTACGATTACCTGACAAGAATGTTCATGCTCTTGAGGTCGCGATGGATAATAGGAGGCTTCATGCTGTGCAAGTATGCCATACCACGCGACGTGTCGATGGTCATGCGCAAAATCGGCTTGGCCCAGGTCATCTTGTTCTCAGGGTTCCGCAGTACCACGAAGAGATCTCCTCGCTCCAAGAACTCCGTGACGAAGCAACTGCACTCGTTATAAAAGCACAGCCACCACAATAACAACGTCCAGTTAGTATGCGCGTACTGAGCACCTCACATCAAGAAGCCGCGCACGCACATATTAGAGTACGAGTTCCAACTCGCTCCAATAAACTGCACAATATTCGGGTGCCGCAAGTTCATCATGAGCTGAATCTCGTCGCCAAACATGCGCAGATTGTCCTCCGTGATCTTCGTCCGCAGCATCCGCTTGACCACCACCGGCGTCCCACAGTACGTGCCTTTGATCACTTCGCCAAAAGCGCCAGCGCCAATGATCTTCTGCAGCTTGAGGTCATTGAAATTGATCTCGGCCATCCGCAGCCCCTTGTTGCTCTCGAGCATCGTCTCGACGACGTTCTTCTCCTTGTCCTTAAAGTCCGGGAAGTCCACAGTTGAAGTCAGACCCCGTCGTTTACTCGAGCGATTGGTCCCGTGCGTAGCGGCGACCGCCTCAATAGCTGGCGCTGCTCTGCGCTTCAAGACGCCGTTGCTGTCGACTCGGTGCGGACGCCGGCGACTACTTGCTTCGCTCCGTACGGCTCGTTGCTGGTCCTGCACGTCGTAGTCCTTCGTGTCGCTCTTGGACGAGCACCCGCCCATGGTTTTCAAGTCAGTGCGGTGCTTGGTGATGGCGCAATGGGCGTCAAAGACGGGAAAGTCGCAGGGCCACGACTTGAGAAATACCGGGCCCGCTCACCTCATCATACGGTCGGCGGTTTTTTGTATACAGGTTTGTATGCGGCACGTCCTCCTTTCTGAACTCTTGCGCAGCGCTCTGATGGCTACATGGACGAGTTGCACACACGATGGCTACATGTTTCGAGGTAGATACGTGGTCGAGTGTGTGGGTGGACCCACCCACCCACTTTGGTTCATCGACCATCTACACCCCTCTCTCTCTTGATCGTCCGTTGATTCTAAAATGGCTACACTTGTTGCATTTCAAGTACAGCTAGCATAACCTCGAAGCAGCGCCTGACCGATGGTCCGTCTTCGATACACCGTGGGGTTTCCGTACACCCAGTCTTTCCACACGCGCTTGCTCGCTCCAGCAGCAGCGCGACGACGACCAACTTTGAGCCGTCCGATCTTCGTCGAGCTATGTACTTCCAGCTACCGACAACAGCGAGCAACGATCCAGTGAGCTAAACTAAGCTGTAACTACAACGCACGACCACAATCGTGCTACGGTTGTGTACGAATGCAGTTAGGTAGATACCAGCACCACTCGCGCAGCATCTCAACAGACGGCTAACACTAGAGCTTTTCCATGTTGTACTCCTCCACCAGGCACACGCAACACTTGTCCTGTAGTGCAGCATCCTCCCCGCATCAAGTGCCGCATTTCGCTCCTCAGTTGTCAGCGCGCTCTTCTGTTTGTGGCAACGTCGTGTTGTCTACAATTGATTCGGTACGTCCCATTAGCTACAGCAATCGACCATTCATGTTGTCCACGTGATCACAAGCTCCTAAAGTCCTACCGCTCCAAGCGACGGTGTTATCTTGCCAATGTCAAGCAAATCGGAACCTCATGTCACGATTGCTTCTACTTTAACATACAAAGAGCGGCTGATTACATGGATGTTTTGTCACCGTCGCTATTCCCATGTGGTGCTTCGTTACCATTATCTCAGTACACACTTGCAACCAGCGAATAGCATCGTGCGCACCATATTCCATAACATAGACCGTCGCTGTGTCATTGACGCTGCTGCTACAATCTATCCTAATCTCAGTACACCTCAACCCCGCAAACAGCATATCCAAACCCCGGCGTATCCACCGACACAAGTCTTCCATCCGCCTCTGCCATCCACACGAACGGCCACCCGTACGACCGTCGGCCGAAGGCGTGGACGCAGGACGAAGCCCCCCTCTCTCTCTTGTGAAAGCATATGACAGGACCTCCAGGAGAAGCGTCTGACGTGGTCATGACTCCCGCCGCGCCGTCCAGCAGCAGCCAAGACCATGACCAGCAGCCCAACCAAAGCCGCACAAACGACTCGGTCCCTCCAGTCGCAGTGCAGCGCGTGTTCCTTTCGCCTGAAGAGAAGCGCAAGATGTTGGACGAACGCAGTCGTCGCTGGGACAAAATGAACGCGAAACGCTACGGCGAGAAGCGCAAATTCGGCTTTGTCGAGTCAGTGAAGGACGATATGCCGCCAGAGCACGTGCGGAAGATCATTAAAGACCACGGTGACATGAGCAGCAAGAAGTTCCGACACGATAAACGCGTGTACTTGGGCGCGCTCAAGTACGTGCCTCATGCGATTTTCAAGCTGCTGGAGAACATGCCCATGCCATGGGAACAAGTGAAGGATGTCAAGGTGCTGTACCATATTACGGGTGCCATCACGTTTGTGAACGAAGTGCCGTGGGTCATCGAGCCCGTCTACATTGCTCAATGGGGGACCATGTGGATCATGATGCGACGCGAGAAACGCGACCGACGCCACTTTAAGCGCATGCGCTTCCCTCCTTTTGATGACGAGGAGCCACCACTGGACTATGGCGACAACATCTTGGATATTGAACCCTCGGAGAGTATTACGATGGAGCTTGATGAGGAAGATGATGAAGCCGTGATTGAGTGGCTCTACGACTCGAAACCGCTTGTAGAGTCGAAGTTTATCAATGGGCCGAGCTACCGCAAGTGGCGGCTGCCCGTGCCTATTATGGCCAACCTGCATCGTCTTGCAGGCCAGTTGATCAGCGACTTGGTGGACCCGAATTACGAGTATCTGTTCGATAAGAAGTCGTTCTTTACAGCTAAAGCATTGAATGTCGCGATTCCGGGCGGCCCAAAGTTTGAGCCACTATATCGTGACTTGGACGAAGACGACGAGGACTGGAACGAGTTCAACGATATCAACAAGATCATTATCCGCCACCAGATCCGGACGGAATACAAAGTGGCATTCCCGTTCCTCTATAATAGTCGACCGCGGTCCGTGCACATTCAACCGTACCATACTCCTGTGTTGTGCTACATTAAGGCCGAGGATCCTGACCTGCCAGCGTTCTACTTCGATCCGATTGTGAACCCGATTTCTCATTTTCGGGTTAACCGGTCTGAAAAGCAGGATGACACGCATGAAATGGAGGGAGATGACGACGAGGATGACGACGAGTTTCAACTTCCTATGGGATTCGACCCACTTTTGACGGATGAGCCGCTGTACACACCGGAAACGGCCAATGGCATTGCCCTGTACTGGGCTCCACGGCCGTTCAATCTGCGCACGGGTCGAACACGTCGAGCTATCGATGTGCCTCTGGTAAACAAGTGGTTCCAGGAGCACTGTCCGCAAGGGCAGCCTGTAAAGGTTCGTGTCAGTTATCAGAAACTGCTGAAGTGCTGGGTGTTGAATTCACTGCATCACCGCCCTCCGAAGGCACTGAACAAGAAGTATTTGTTTAAGTCACTTAAATCCACGAAGTTTTTCCAGAGCACGGAGCTGGATTGGGTTGAAGCTGGTCTGCAGGTGTGTCGTCAGGGATACAACATGTTGAACCTGCTGATTCACCGCAAGAATTTGAACTACCTACACTTGGACTACAATTTCAATCTGAAGCCGATTAAGACGCTTACGACAAAGGAGCGTAAGAAGTCGCGTTTCGGTAATGCGTTCCACTTAACTCGAGAGATTCTGCGTCTGACGAAGCTAATCGTAGATGCACACGTCCAGTATCGATTGGGTAACGTTGACGCGTTCCAGCTTGCTGATGGGCTGCAGTATATCTTTGCGCACGTTGGGCAGCTAACAGGTATGTATCGATACAAGTACCGCTTGATGCGTCAGGTTCGCATGTGCAAGGATTTGAAGCACTTGATTTACTACCGGTTTAATACTGGGCCGGTTGGCAAGGGACCTGGATGTGGTTTCTGGGCGCCTGGCTGGCGTGTCTGGCTATTCTTTCTGCGAGGTATCGTGCCGTTGCTCGAGCGTTGGCTCGGGAACTTGCTAGCGCGTCAGTTTGAAGGACGTCACTCGAAGGGCATTGCAAAGACTGTCACAAAGCAGCGTGTAGAAAGCCACTTTGACTTGGAACTGCGTGCTGCTGTGATGCACGATATTCTGGATATGATGCCGGAAGGTGTCAAGGTGAACAAGTCCAGAGCAATCATGGCACATCTCAGTGAGGCTTGGCGCTGCTGGAAGGCAAACATTCCATGGAAGGTGCCGGGCTTGCCGGCTCCCATCGAAAACATGATATTGCGCTATGTGAAGTCCAAGGCTGACTGGTGGACCAACGTAGCACACTACAACCGCGAGCGTATTAAACGCGGTGCCACTGTTGACAAAACTGTTTGCAAGAAGAATTTGGGTCGCTTGACGCGGCTGTGGCTCAAAGCAGAGCAAGAGCGTCAACATAATTACCTCAAGGACGGTCCCTATGTGTCTGCTGAGGAAGCTGTTGCGGTGTACACCACCACTGTGCACTGGCTGGAAAGTCGAAAGTTTGCCCCTATTCCGTTTCCACCTTTGTCGTACAAGCACGACACAAAACTTCTCATTCTTGCGTTAGAGCGGCTAAAGGAGAACTACTCTGTCGACAATCGATTGAACCAGACGCAGCGTGAAGAACTGGGTCTAATCGAACAGGCGTATGACAATCCTCATGAAGCGCTGTCTCGTATCAAGAGGCATTTGCTTACTCAGCGTGCTTTCAAGGAAGTCCACCTCGAGTTTATGGATTTGTACAGTCACTTGATCCCTGTGAACGATATTGAGCCGCTGGAGAAGATCACAGATGCGTACCTTGACCAGTACTTGTGGTACGAAGCTGACAAGCGTCACCTCTTCCCTTGCTGGATCAAGCCCAGCGACTCCGAACCGCCCCCGTTGCTTGTTTACAAATGGTGCCAAGGAGTAAACAACTTGCACAATGTGTGGGATACTTCCGAAGAGGGGTGCGTGGTAATGCTGGAGTCGAAGCTCGAAAAGGTGTATGAGAAGATCGACTTGACCTTGCTTAACAGGCTGCTGCGGTTGATTCTGGATCATAATATCGCCGACTACATGACGGCGAAAAACAACGTTGTTATTGCGTACAAGGACATGATGCACACGAACTCGTATGGCCTTATTCGTGGATTACAGTTTGGGTCGTTTATCTTCCAGTACTACGGTCTGATCCTGGACCTGCTGCTGCTGGGTCTGACACGCGCGACTGAGATCGCTGGTCCACCGGAGCTTCCAAATGAGTACCTGTCGTTTAAGGACACTTCTTCGGAGACTCGACACCCCATTCGTTTGTACACGCGGTACATCGACAAGATCTACGTGCTGTTTCGGTTTGATGCCGACGACTCTCGCGACTTGATTCAACGGTACTTGACGGAGCACCCGGACCCGAACAATGAGAACGTGGTTGGATACAATAACAAGAAGTGCTGGCCTCGTGATGCGCGCATGCGGCTTATGAAGCACGACGTGAACCTCGGTCGAGCAACATTCTGGGATATGAAGAACCGTTTGCCGCGTTCGATGACTACATTCGAGTGGGACAACAGCTTTGCGTCCGTGTACTCGAAAGATAACCCGAATTTGCTGTTCAATATGTGCGGGTTTGAAGTGCGTATTCTACCGAAGATGCGTGCGGTTGACGCTGAGTTCACGCACAAGGATGGAGTGTGGATCCTGCAAAATGAAACCACGAAGGAGCGCACCGCTCAGGCGTATCTCTGCGTGGATGACGAGTCGCTCCAATCCTTCGAGAACCGGATTCGCCAGGTGTTAATGTCATCTGGTAGTACAACGTTCACCAAGGTTGCTAACAAGTGGAATTCGGCCCTGATTGGACTGATGACGTACTACCGCGAGTCTGTCGTGCAGACCCAAGAGTTGCTGGACCTCTTAGTCAAGTGCGAAAACAAGATCCAGACACGTATCAAGATTGGATTGAACTCAAAGATGCCATCCCGGTTCCCCCCTGTGGTGTTTTACACGCCAAAAGAACTAGGTGGTCTCGGTATGTTATCAATGGGCCACGTCCTAATTCCCCAATCTGATCTTCGTTACTCAAAGCAAACCGACGGTGGTGGCGTGACGCATTTTCGGTCGGGAATGTCCCACGAGGAGGATCAGCTGATCCCGAACTTGTTCCGCTACTTGCAGCCATGGGAGTCTGAGTTCATCGATTCGCAGCGTGTGTGGGCGGAGTACGCTCTGAAGCGACAAGAGGCCAATGCTCAGAATCGTCGCTTGACGTTGGAGGATCTGGAAGACTCTTGGGATCGCGGTATTCCGCGTATTAACACGTTGTTCCAGAAGGACCGCCATACGCTGGCGTACGACAAGGGTTGGCGTGTACGCACGGGCTTTAAGTGCTATCAGGTGATGCGCCAGAATCCGTTTTGGTGGACCCATCAACGGCATGATGGTAAGTTGTGGAACTTGAACAACTATCGAACCGACATGATTCAGGCACTGGGTGGTGTTGAAGGCATTCTTGAGCACACGTTGTTCAAGGGCACGTACTTTCCGACATGGGAAGGCTTGTTCTGGGAGAAGGCTTCTGGATTTGAAGAGAGTATGAAGTACAAGAAACTGACGAACGCGCAGCGATCTGGTTTGAACCAGATTCCCAACCGTCGATTCACGCTGTGGTGGTCTCCTACGATCAACCGCGCTAATGTATATGTAGGCTTCCAGGTCCAACTAGATTTGACAGGTATTTTCATGCACGGTAAAATCCCGACTCTCAAGATCTCTCTCATCCAAATTTTCCGCGCACATTTGTGGCAGAAGATTCATGAGTCACTGGTTATGGACTTAGGTACGTGATTGCGTTTTGTTGATATGCTTTTTGGACGCTGCTGACATTGCGTTAATGTTTGGTTGTCATGAATGTGTGCTGTGCAGTTCAAGGTATATTGAGTGACGTGCAGACTTTCAACTGTCTGATGTTGTGTAGGTTCTAATGTTTGCTTCGGTTGCTTATTGGTGCTTGTAGTGTTCGATCAGGAGCTCGACGCGCTGGAGATTGAGAGTGTACAGAAGGAAACGATCCACCCGCGTAAATCGTACAAGATGAATTCATCTTGCGCGGACGTTCTTCTTTTCGCTGCGTACAAGTGGCAAATGGGTCGGCCCACGCTATTGCATGACACGAAAGACAGTTATGACGGCTCAACGAGCTCAAAGTACTGGATTGATGTGCAGCTTCGATGGGGTGATTTCGATTCTCATGATATTGAGCGATACGCACGTGCCAAGTTCTTGGACTACACAACGGACAATATGACTATTTACCCGTCACCGACAGGCGTGTTGCTCGCAGTGGATCTGGCGTACAACCTCTACAGTGGGTACGGAAACTGGTTTCCTGGGTGCAAGCCGCTGATGCAGCAAGCTATGGCCAAAATTATGAAAGCAAACCCAGCTTTGTATGTGCTGCGCGAGCGTATTCGCAAAGGTTTGCAGCTCTACTCTTCTGAACCGACGGAACCATATTTATCGAGTCAGAACTATGGCGAGCTGTTTTCGAATCAAATCATTTGGTTTGTTGACGACACCAATGTGTATCGAGTGACGATCCACAAGACGTTTGAGGGCAATCTGACAACGAAGCCGATCAATGGTGCCATTTTCATTTTCAACCCGCGTACTGGCCAGCTGTTCTTGAAGATCATTCATACGTCAGTGTGGGCAGGTCAGAAGCGCCTAGGGCAACTGGCGAAATGGAAGACTGCTGAAGAAGTAGCGGCCCTGATTCGGTCACTGCCCGTGGAAGAACAGCCAAAGCAGATCATTGTGACGCGCAAGGGTATGCTAGATCCGCTTGAAGTGCATCTGTTGGATTTCCCGAACATTGTCATCAAGGGCAGTGAGCTGCAGCTGCCATTCCAAGCATGCTTGAAGGTTGAGAAGTTTGGCGACTTGATTCTGAAAGCGACGGAGCCACAAATGGTTCTGTTTAACATCTACGACGACTGGCTGAACACAATCACATCGTATACGGCATTCTCTCGTTTGATCTTGATTCTGCGCGCATTGCACGTGAGTAACGACCGTACGAAGATTATTCTGCGGCCTGACGGTGAGACCACAACGCAGCCACACCACATTTGGCCGTCACTAGCTGATGAGCAGTGGCTAAAAGTTGAAGTGCAGCTGAAGGACTTGATCTTGGGCGACTATGGCAAGAAGAACAATGTGAATGTCGCTTCACTGACCCAGTCGGAGATCCGTGATATTATCTTGGGTATGGAGATCTCGGCCCCGTCGCTACAGCGGCAGCAGGTTGCTGAGATTGAACAACAAGCACGAGAGCAGAGCCAGCTTACCTCGGTGACAACAAAGACCGTGAATAAGCATGGTGATGAAATGGTAGTTACTACGACGAGCCAATACGAGCAGCACTCGTTCGCTTCGAAGACGGATTGGCGCGTACGCGCTATCTCGGCGACAAACCTACACCTACGTACGAACCATATCTACGTGACGTCAGATGATATCAAGGAGACAGGGTTCACGTACGTGCTACCGAAAAACGTGCTCAATAAGTTTATCACTGTGTCGGACTTGCGGACCCAGATTTGCGGTCTCATGTATGGTGTGAGTCCGCCTGATAACCCCCAAGTGAAGGAGATTCGCTGTATCGTGATGCCACCACAACTTGGTACTCACCAGAGCGTGACAATCCCGCTGCACTTGCCGGACCATGAGTACTTGGAAGGCATGGAGGCGCTCGGCTGGATTCACACGCAACCAAACGAGCTGCCGAGCTTGCCGCCGCAGGACGTCACTTTCCACTCGAAGATCATGTCGGAGAACACATCGTGGGATGGCGAAAAGAGTATCATCATCACGTGCAGCTTCACTCCTGGCTCGTGCTCCCTGACGGCGTACAAGTTGACACCAGCTGGCTACGAATGGGGTCGCCAGAACAAGGACGGCGGCGCGAACCCGGTGGGCTTTGTCCCGACTCACTACGAAAAGGTGCAGATGCTATTGTCCGACCGGTTCCTCGGCTTTTACATGGTCCCGGACGAAGAGGTTTGGAATTACAACTTTATGGGTGTGAAGCACAACACGGGCATGAAGTACGACGTCAAGCTGGGCAACCCCAAGGAGTTTTACCACGAGATTCACCGGAAGACGCACTTCATGAACTTTAGCGCGCTTGAAGCGACGGACGAAGTGGCGGCTATTGATGAGGAGCAGCAGAACGTATTCGCCTAACTTGCATGTCTCGATCACCGCTCCTCTCTATGTAGTAATGACAATTTCGACAAGTCATAATTCACTGGTACTGCATTCCCGCATACACACGTTTTGTCAAACTCTTAAACAACGCAGGTGTAAAACAGTCCCACGTTGCATCGTTTCGATTGATTGGCTGATGTCCTAATTCGTCGCCTAATTCTTCACCCCCCTCCTCTATCCTCTGACCACCTCGGAAATCCGACAACCGACAGATACGAAAAAAGCACCCGGCATTGACTTCGCGCGCTCCATTTCTCGTGTTCCTGCTCCTTGTTCACTCTTTTAGTAACGAGCAGTATCGCCATTAGAAAGAGGTGCGTCTGCTCTTGCGATTCCACTACCTTTCGATTTATGAAGACCCCTGTAGCCACTGCAATGCTGAGCTAAGTATTTTTGACACGTTTCTGTCAAAAATGACAGGAGTCAAGCAAAAGCAGCTACTTTCGTCAAGAAAGCGTCCCCAGTCGATCGTATACCAACAAGAAGACGAGATCGATGTCGGGAGACGTGCGTGCCAAGGACAACAAGTCCTCGCTGAGTCACCGTGCCCAGCAGAAGTTCAAGTAGGTTTTTGTCCTGCGACTTTTTGACACGTGTGTATTGTTGACGCTTGTGTTATTTTTGACGTCTTTCGTCTAATTGTTGTTGTGGTCCTGGTCCAAAATGTCTGCACTATAGCGCTGGTAAGTACGAAGAAGCCGTGGATGCACTGGAGAAGCTCGTGGACGAGATTGACCCGCGTCAGGACTTTAAGGTTCGGCACAATGTGGCGCTCGCCCGGTTCGCTGCGGGGCTGGACACGCCTGGCAAGATGCAGCTTGCGCTCCAGCAGATTCTGCGTGCTGAGCTGCAGGAAAATGACAGGAAACCTGCTCTAGCTGCTGCTCCTGCTGCTGACGTCGCTGTTAATGGAGAAGATGCTGCTGTGGGCGTTGATGTTGCTGGCAAGGACAGCGGATCGTTTTCTATTGAACGAGAGACGGCGTATTTACGCTATAACTACGCGGCGGCTCTGTTCATGTCGAAGCAGTACGCACAGGCAAGCACAGTGCTGGAAACAGTCATGCGCAACGTGGACCCTATCGATGAAAATGTGGCTATGCATGCTAGTTTCTTGTATCTGGACGTCATTTTGCACAGCAGCAGGGGGTGTGTGAGTACGGAAAGAGAGCGTGCTGCAACGAGTAAAAAGGCACAGAGCATCTTGGCTTTCTTGGAGAAACCGCATCGGTTTAACACGGTGCAGCAGCCACCGGATCATTTAGTGCAGCGCGATGTCAATGGCAATGCAGTGGAGACAGAGATGCAGAAGAAGAATCGATGGGACGTGACGGAGTTCCGCTTTCGGCTGCATCTTTACCGTGCCAAGTCCATGTTGCTCCAGAGCAACCTGAAGACAGCAAAAAAAGAGGTGAAGTCTGCACTGGAAATCTTGCAGAAGGAAATCAAGACGTACGATAGGGGAGATACTGCTGCGGCACCGTCATCTTCGCTTGCATTGGAGTCGGAAAAGACGAGTGCGGCCATCGGCCATCCTCGCCTCATGGTGCAGAACTCTACGGCGCTGTTTTTGAAGGCAAATCTGGAATATTTAAAGAAAAATTACAAGAAGTGCATAAAGCTTCTTGCTTCGTGTACACAGGAAGCTGTGAGCGAGGTACGTCGGATTCGCTTGAGTCGTGAGTCAAGCTGGATCTGATGTGTTGTAATATGTGCTTGTGTTCTTGTGTGCAGAGTGTTTTGTTGAATAACATGGGCTGCATCCACTTTCAATTGGGACAGCGGAAGGCGGCACAGTCATATTTTGCTCGAGCACTGCAAGCCACGACAAAAGCTACGAAGATGGACGCGGTTGCCATTGCGAGTTCGTGCCAATACGAAATCATGTACAACAATGGTCTGCACCTGTTACTTCAAGGTGAGTTCGCGCTGGCGTTCCGTTGCTTCCACGAATCATCGCGGCTATTCTTCAACCGACCCAAGCTGTGGCTCCGCCTCGGTGAGTGTTGTACTGCAGCATTTGCAAAGGAGCAGAAACTAGCCGTTGTTGCCGGCAACACAAGTGGTTTGATCCAGGGAATAGTGGGCACCGGCTCGCATCGCCGTGTTCTACTTCCCACTAGCTTACCGTCTGCGGCATCACAGGACATCAAGCTTGCTGAAATGGATAGCAATGGCATCGCGTCTCGAACGGCATCGGTAGATGATGATGCTGTGGGTGGCTCACCTACAATGAGTCTTCCGTTCGGTGCGAAGTGCTTTAAGAACGTAGTCTTGCTCTGCAACCAGCTTTTGGATTCCAGAAACGTGAACGGAAACACGAATACTCCAGCAGGCGCTGCAGATGGACCAGAAAGTGAACCTCTTGACACAGAGGCTCTGGATGTGCTTCGTCAGAAGGCTCTCGTTAACCTGTCGTATGTCTACCTGTCGATGTACGAACCCCAGCTTGCCATTGCAAGTGCAAAAGAGTTGCTGGCATTGGCTACTTGCTCAAAGGCAAACTGCTTTTTGGCGCGTTCGTACACTGCAGAGGCTCTTTGTATGCTGTCACGAGCATCAGAAGCGACGGACGCCTTGCAGTCGGAGCGAGACTTGATTGCCATGGCCGAAGACTACGCACGGGAAGCCAAGATCCAGGTCAGCCGACGGATTGTGCTAGGGCTCGGCTCTTTGTCTGCGCTGAAACGGTTGACTTACTGCTATGCTGTATTACATGCTTTCATTGGTGCAGGTGTCTCGAGCTCGAGCTGGTGTCCATGTGAGTAACGCCACTGCACTTCTGCTGCAGGGACGCAACTCTGAAGCAGAGGAAAGCGTGACGCGGGCTGTGAGGGAAAACCCGAGTTGTCGCGAGTCGCTCGAGCTGTTAGTGTATGTACTGCTGAAGAAGGGCGATACAAAGAAGGCACTTCGTGTGCTGAAAGAGGCACAGGTTGTGCAGTAAGTCACGCGATCTGCTATCGCAGCATCTTCGTTGTTGTGCATTGGAAGGGGTCCACAGATCTAGCGAGAATGTACACGGGTAGCCGTGGCAATCTGCGCAGAGCGGGCATGTAGTTCAAAAACCGACGGACGGACAGGCGTCTGAGTACGTCCAGGCTGAAAAGCGCTAACACAAATGGATTGGACAGGTCTCGATGCAGCTATTCTTCAACAGCGCCGCAAATTTACGTACGTACTGAAGGAGACAATGAAGAGGGTCGATACCATGGCATTGCAGTTTAACCAGCAACTTTGGGTGTGTATTTCTGTTAGTCGACCCAACCTCTGCTTGCTGCTCTACCCTATCGAGCTGAAAACGAAACCGCGTCGCAACAATGCCATCTCTCTCGCAACTCCACGCTCCGTTCCCTGCTCCGTTGTATCCCTGTGTGTGTGTGTGTCTTGCCTGTGCGCTGCTGCTCCTCACCACGCCCGAAAAAGGAGAAAGAACCCGCCCATTAAGTAAGCGGCTGACGTGATTGTCTCTCCTCGTGTACCCTCCGCTGCTGCTGACCCTGCTCGTGACCCGAGTACAACCAGCGCCTGAGCTCTAGTGATCCGTCTCGAGCACGAGTCCGCAACCCACCGATTATACCGCCGTCTACTCCGCTCGGTTGTGCGACGTGGCATCCACCTTCCCACCACGGCGGTTGCCCATCTTCTCACGTCGCGGCCCCTCACGTCGATCGCCCTTGCTGAACGAAGGAGCATCGTCACCGCTGCGCTCCTTCCGGTCACCGCGGCCACTCTTGGGGCCGTGACCACCACGCCCACGACCGCGCGAGTCGTTGCTGCGGAAGTTACTACGCTGGCCATCTTTGCGGTCGCCGCGCTCCGACACCTGCAGCACTTTGTCCAGCACCTTGAACTCCTTCGTTTCCGCCAGAGCCGCACGCATACTCTCCTGCTCGTAGTAGTCAACAAACGCAAAGTTGCGCTGAGCCACAACGTTCACCCCAGCGATCGAGCCGTACCCCTTGAACAAGTCACGGAGGTCACTGTCACGCATCTGAGGCGGCAGGTCACGAATGAACAGACTGTACAGACGCTTCTGTTCCTTCTCCTTGCTCGGCTTGTTCTTCGGCGACCTCTCCACCGCCAGACCACCAGAAGGAGGAGAAACTGCCGCAGGAGTCGGTACCGACGTCGACGCAGCAACATCCTTCGTAACCACAGGCTTCACAGGAGCCGCAGCTAGCGGCACCACAGCAGCAAGTGGCGTCACAGTAGCGGCCGTTGTCGGCGCCGAGAACAGCGCTGCCCACGTCTTGGGCTTCTCCGGCTCAACAGGAGCTGGCACCACTGGATCCGCCGGAGCAGCAGCTACAACGTCCTCCTGCTTCGTAACCGGAAGAAACATGACCGGCGCCACCGTCGTCTCCACAGCTACAGGCACCGCATCTTCCTCCCTCTCTTCCCCCACCGGCTTCTCGACCACAGCACTGGACGAGGAAGCAGCAGCCGTCACTTGCTCTCCCCCCTCGTCCCTTTCCACATCCACGACCTCCCCACTCGTCTCCTCCTCCTCCTCTCTCCCCGTCTCTTCCTCCTTCCCCGCAATCTCCGGCACCACCACTGGCACCGCCATCATCTCCATCTCCACCGGCTCTTCTTCCAGTCCCCTCTCTACCCGAGGCAGCTCCAGAAACCGCAGACAGTCGTTCAGCACAAAGAACCCCTTGGGCTGCACCGCCAGGAAGAACGTCTGGACGAACGGCTTGGGCGCGGGCTCTCCGCTCTGTAGCGTCATGACGCCCGTGACCAGCACCAAGACGCCGCCGCCGAGCGACTGCTGGCAGTCGATGGAGCCCGCGTCCAGCTCCACGCGCGCGCCGGCGTAGCCGCGTTTCAAGATCTCGTCGTTGATCGCGCGCTGGCCAGCGATTGGCTCCTCCATGTGCGAGCCGACGCCGTGGCACCAGCGACTCTCCGTCTTGTAGAAGCGGTGGAGACTCTGCGGCTCTTTGGCCAGGAAGTGGTAGTACTGGCGCATGAACGTGTTGCCGACGGTGCGGGGCGAGGGCTCGTCGGGGCGGGCGGCGGGCTCGGACATGGCTACACTTTGGGACACGCACAACGGACGGACGGACGGACGGGAGTGATGAAGTGATGGACTGGAGACGAGCGAGCGAGCGAGTGCACAATGATTGGCTACAATTGAGAGAGGGAGGGAGGGACGACGCACGAGGGAGGTCCGTGGCGGGTGGTCGAGTGTGCGACACGAGCGACAGACTCGACCGTGTTTTGTCACGCGTTGTGACGAAGAGTGTCGTGGGGAGACAGACGGTGTGACATTGATTGGGGGGGGGTATGTGGTGGACATAATTGTCGAGACATAGCGACACGACAGCGGGGCGAATCGATGTCATAGTGATATGTCATTAATCATGTCATCGAGGCGTCGCAGCGAAGACCGTCTAGTTGTATGGTTGTTAAAGCTGCTGCTGCAATGGTTTGCTTATTGATGTGGTGGTCATAGTCTTGATCTGTAGCTGCGTGACTACGATGAACGGGACTGTTAACTTGTCAAGCGATGCTGGCGGCTGAAGCTTTTTTGCTGGTCCTGACGGTCGTGGTGTAGTTCTACGTGCTCGGAACCTCCTTGCTGCTTGATATCGAGCGAACGTAGTTTCTGCAACAAACTGCCTCCCTGCATTTACATGTGACGCGACTATGAACGCATTTCCACCGTACCAACTTGTGTATCTAGGGGCAGGAACTCTTCCTTGTCTGCACTGGGTTCTGTCGACCGCATATGGTCCAGTCAGGTGATCACACTCTTTGCCCACGTGGTATCAATCCAGTCTTCCGAAAAGAGTTCTTCTCTTGCTTCAGCAGCAGGTGATGCTTCGTCTGCTGTTGCGACTCAGCAACAGGCGGTGCCTGTTGTGAATAGTCCACGTAATGAGTCACCAGGTGCGACAGATACATTCGCTGCGTCTGCAGCGTTTACTGCGAATTGCAATGTAGATGAGCCTAAAAAGAGCTCATATATTTCGGCGAGTCGGACGATGCATCCGACTCGAAGGCGACACCTCACGCCTCCGGATCATCCGGGGTGGAGACTGCAAGAGCCAGGTTGACTGGCTCTGGGGAACGTGGCGGCATCGTGTCCGAGATCTTCGGATCGAGCGATTGTTCCGACGAATCCTCGCCTCATGCAAGTCCGTCCAACGATAGGACGCGTGGGATGGTGGTGATGCACCTATACATCACCACGAGCGAATTAACTTGAGGGATTGAGGTGTCACTAATGTCAGTGCTCATGCTGACATTAATCAAGAGGCCAGGGACCGAGATGTCCTGCGCCACGCTCCTCAAGTGGAGTCTCGTTAGATGCCGTCATCCAACGAGTTGGACCAGTTGGACGGCATGACTACCGAACAGGATCTAATCCTGTTGTTCGATTGCAGGAAGATTTGCCCACCTGATTCCAGGACGGAAACTATCCGTGTTGAGGAAAAGTACTTCACCGATGCGTTCTTCAAACATCGGTGGTGCAATGGCAGCCGTGTTCGTGACGGAAAGGTCTTGGTGCAAGGATGGAATGCCCTCATCCATAACATCGAGTGCATTGGCCATGAGGCCTGGCTCGGTAAACTTGATGCAGCTCACATCAGGTTTGAGAAGCGCAACCCAGTCGAGGTGCAGTACAAGTTGCACCGATTGTCAAGAGAGTCAGGATTACCCTGTCTCTTGTGGGGTGATTCGTGTCCAGGTTGCCTGGGCAGTGCAGATTGTTCCCCTAGGGAGTACCCCCTCCCTAACTTTCCCTATTGGACGGCGCGCATCTCTTCTGAGATGGCCGAAGGGATTGACACTTTGCAATCCCTGTACTCGCGCTCGGAAAGGTCGTTTTCCGACGACCCTTCTTTGAACGAAGCGGGTGGGTCTCGTCATATTGCTAGACAAGACCCAAGACATCAATGATCAGCTGGGCACGAGGCTCCCAGCTGTCCGAGTTCGGTGGATAGCCACGCCAGCGGACGAGGTAACTCGTCCGGACGCCGTTGACGTCGCGGTGGTTCAAAATACGCTCCTCTACAAAGCGTTGACCGTCGCCTAAGTCTAACAAAGGATGTGGTGGCGGCGGGAACACCTGATCCAGCTCGAGGGTCGGATCAGCTTGATGTTCAAGAACTGAACCGTGTAACGGAGCAGTTACATGATGACCTGGCTCAGGAATGGAACCGGCGTTACGAGCTCCGTGACCTTGTAAGGGATAATCACAATTTCTTAGCGCATGTTCATTCGAGCGATCGTGCCGCTTTTGCGCTCGCGCAACTTGAGAACGAACGTTCGACTCGTTCTCTTCGTGACGATCTGGCTGTAGCTCGTCGAGACATCGCTCAGCTGCGTGAGCAGGTCACTTCGCTAGTCGACCAGACTGGATCGTTGAAACAAGACCACTCGAAGGTGGTCTCGGCCCTTGACCGCGGAGGTGTTCTTCGCATCTTGAAACGGGCTCGTACTGATAGTACGGACGGAGACGACCAACGTAAAACGTAGGATGCGTGCGTACCTTACGGGGCAGTTCAATCGTGTATGCGTTGCCTGTTCGCCGCAACACACGAAATGGACCGATGTACCTGGGCATTGATTTACTGCTGCCCAGGTTTGTCACTGTGTGCTTCGGTAAGTTTACTGTAGACAGTAAAAGTAGGTCTCCTATATCAAATGAAAGAACATTTGCTCTTCCATTTTTGTCTGCGTTTCTTTTCTGTCTGTCTAATGCGTCTGCAATAGAGTCTTGAACGAAGCGGACAACCGCTTCGCGAGTCAGCAGAAATTCCTCTGCTGTTTCATCCCTGTCAACAGCAGTGCGCTTCGTGTGCACTGCTAAAAGAACGTTATCTTCACCAGTGAGGCCGTCATCGTCATCACTGTGAAAGTCGTTGGCGATGCTATATAAACTAGCATCGCCGTCATCATCATCATAGATGTCGATAGCAACGACATCGGCATCCATCACGTCGACATCATTGTCGACGTGCGATGAGCAAGAACCAGATCGATTTTTGTTCAAGCGAGTCCACCCCCCCCCTAAACTAGAGTCACACTGTATGAAGGCGGGTAAACGTGGATGGCGTAAACCATTCATGAAGAACAACGTATGCGTTGTCGACTCATGCACCGAGTTGTTGATGGCGAATTCAGCCATCGGCAAGAACTCACTCCAACTCGTAAAAGTGTGGACGTACCCTCGAAGTATCTCTTCGAGGACGCGGTTGACGCGTTCCGTCTGACCATCCGCTTCGGGATAGTCATAAGTCGACATCTTGAAACGTGTTCCAAGTAAACGGAAAACGGATTGCCAGAACTCCTTTGTAAATCGGGGGTCCCTATCGGACTCGAGTTCACGGGTAACCCGTGAAGTCGGAAGATAGTATAGATGAAGACACAAAAACAGCCCCGGGCTGTGATTGACTCCGGTACAAAAACAAGATGTACCATCTTGCTGAATCTATCGACAAACACAAGAATACCAGCATTCTTATGAACGTCTTTGGGAAACCCGAAGCCGAAGTCCATCGATACGGACTGCCAACACTCTGCCGGAATCGGGAGAGGCTGCGAGGTTTCGCGGGATGAAGGACTAGGCTTTACCCGTTGAAAAACTTCTCAAGCGCGAATGCATTTATGCACAAAACCGTACTGGCGGGGCTAGTAGAAGTCACGACTAACCATGAAGTTAGTCTTTTCCCTACCGCGATGCCCACTTGTTGGAGCATCGTGACACTCATACATGATGTGTAACGGGGTGAATCGTTACATAACAATTTATAAGAAATTGTTGATAAAATATGACTATAAGAGTTATATTCTCAGAATATTGTCATAAGGACAAATATTCTGCAGCACTTACGAGTAGTTTCTAATTTGTTGATATAGGCCATTATATCAACCAACGAAGACGCGCCACGACAGACGCACGCAATGAGTGGTGAGCAGATAGTTGATTTACACATTTGTATTCAGACATAGTTAGATGAAGATAAATAGTGATTTATTGCAGAAATTAACTATTATAAATACAGTTCTACTTTTTACTTTAACCAAGTACTCGCTTCTCCTACCGTCTTCCTCTGCACGTACGAGTGTACGTGAAGTTACGAGGCACCGCCTTATTCTGTTATCAGAATAAGTAGCTTGTACTGTCACCAGTACAAGCTTCAGGGTGCCCCGTTACATGATGCGCAACCGCAATTCACGATGAGCCGGATCGACGACATGAGGTATTTTGCCGTTGGCTCTGTACAGTACAGCAGTCCATCACGAACCGAATACCGTTCGGTTGAAGAGAGGTATTAAGACGACAAGCTTTTCAAAGCTTGAATGCATGAATTAGATACATAATCTATCAATCGCAGAAGAGACTCATCTTCTGCGTATGCTTTCCGCACGTCGTCGAGCGGATTCGACGACGGAACACTCACTGTTAGTGTTGCTACAGTGGGATCACCCCTACTGTTGTGTTGAGCAGTCGGCTCGAAATCGGGCCGACGCGAAAGAGCATCAGCGACAACATTAAGTCGTCCTGGTTTAGACTGGACGGAGAAGTTGTACTCCGCGAAGAAAGACAGTCACCTCGCCATTTGTTGCGAGAGGTGTGGACTTTTTACGGCCGTGCGTAACGACGCATGGTCGGTATAAACGATGAAAGGTTTATCTCCTAAGAGATATACCCTAAACTTAGCCAGTGCATATTTCATAGCAAGGAGTTCCTTGATATGCACCGGGTAATTACGCTCAGCTGCTTGCAGCTGACGAGATTGATAACAGACGACGCGCTCAACGCCGTCTGATTCGTACTGCATTAACGCGCATCCGATTGCAAAATCGCTGGCGTCACAGACCACATGGAATGGTCCGTCCTGGTCCGCAATCGCCAACACAGGCGATTGTATCGAGCTTTTTTTATGCCTTCAAAAGAGTGCTGACACTCAGCACTCCATGACCACCTCTCGTTTTTCTTTAGCAGACGAGAGATATGTACGGTCATCTTGGCGTAGTTGCGCGAGTATTTGTGCAATTACGCCGCTACGCCAAGGAACTTTCGAAGTCCCTTGCCGTCGACTGGCATAGGCCAGTTGCTAATCGCCTTGATCTTTTTCGGATCAGGGCGCAAGATGTTTTTAGTCACGATGCAGCCAAGAAGTGGTATTTAGTTCGCTGCGAATATATACTTCTTGAGGTTCGCGAACAACTTATGCTCTCGCATTAGTATAAGAGCCTTCCGGATGTGGATTCTACGAACCTACACATCCGTCTTTCCATCCATAACCCGGTTATGGACGAAGACATCGTCCAAGTGACTCGGCGCGAAGTCTCGCACCGATCGCAACATATTCGTAACATATCTGTTAAGGTTGCAGGGCGTTACTTAGCCCCCGTGGAATCACTAGCTCTCAGCATACCACTGGGGGTGCTCACTGCTGTGTACGGGATGTCCCGTTCACGCATGAGGACCTGATAGAATCCATCCATCAGACCCGTGGACGAAAAGATGGTACTTTTTGTATATCTATAATGACGTCCTTCCTCGGTATCAGCGTTTGAGCCTGCACCGTTGCAGAGTTCATTTTGTTGAATGCGTGCAATATCCGCCACCCTCCTGTGCCCTCTTGCATACAGAATGTCGTAGAGATGTGTGGGGGCGTTGATTTCCTCACATGACCAGCCGCGAGACGATCGTCAAAGAATTTGTCGATCGCTGTAACCTGTTCACGAGGTGGTGGCCACTGCTTCATGACACAGTATTTCGAACCAGGTTTCAGTTCGATCTCATGCCGAGTGCCTTTGCCCTTGGGCAGCTTGCATGGCACGGATGCAGGGAAAACATCCCTGAATTATATTAAATCCTTATACAAAGGATTGTCTACAAGACTCCCAAGATTGAGACGTGTATCGCTCAATCCGAGTCTTATCATCGAGGACACTCTCGTTCATCGATGAACTACTGAGAACCCGTTCATTCTCAGCAAACACTTGTGCCGACCGAATATCGGCGGCGAACTCGTCCTCTATGACGAGTACGCAGATCTGATTGATCTTGTAGCTACACAGATCTCGCAAAAGCCTTTTCGATTCTAGCGTTGGCAACTTGACCATCTCCGAAGCTGAATTCGGGGGGGGGGTGACCAGATCCAGTGTATAAGCGTCTACACTTGATCCTTCATTCACCAAGACATTCACTGACTCGGAGATTTCCTGGGAAAACACATCCGCAGGTGGTTGGGGATTCACACCCTCCACATAACTCTCTCGGGAGTTATCACTCTCAGGAACACGAAAACTTTCTTCCAATAGGTGTACTGACTGTGGGGTACTACCACAGTCACGTCCTCTTCGATCGACTCTCTTTCAGTCGATCGGGCTTGCTCTACGATCGACTCTCTGTCAGCTGATCTTGCTTCAACGTGTTGTTCATCCTGAACAAAACTGACCTCTCTTCTTGGATGCACCCTTCTTGGTGTGCATCCGTGTTCCAGTCTACTCGATCTCTTCGAGTGGTGGACCTTCGGCGCAGCTGTGTCTGTACACAGGTGCCGGTAGCTGGTTCCACAGTGTAGTAGCATTCTACACTGTGGTCTTGTGCAGTCGTACTAACGACCGTACCTCAATTGAGGCCATCGCACTCACTCGAGTACATCCACATGCTTGTGGATGCTCCAAAACGTTCATCAGATGGCCATCCGATGAACAAACGGCAGGCATCTCCACGAATCGATTCTGCCAGCTGAGCCATGGCTGGTATCTTCTGAGCCATGGCAGACCGAGAATGACATCCAATTTGTCATCCGAATCCAGTACGATGAAGGCATCATCGTTCTACTTTCCTTCTAGCGTGTAGTAGATTCCCACTACACGTTTGTTCACTGTTACGGGTGCGCCTGTAGCAAGTCGCACCGTCATCCTCGTTGGAGGGAACTCTCACATAACATAGTTGAGCCTACTATACTCTAGTGACTAGCATCGAGCAAAACTGTTCGACGCCCCACAGTCGACTAGGTCGCGAAGCGACATTCCGCTTGTCACTTTGATCTTAAAAGTGATGAGCGACACCTCATCACTAGGGGCAGTAACACACAGAGACTGTGCGTTGGGAGCAATCTTCGTCAAGAGTCCTGCAAATTCTCTTGACGTTGCTGGATCAGCAGGGTGCTCCGTACCTACTGACCCTGACCGTTTTTTGACGGTCCGACTTGCTGTCGCGGCTTAGCGACATTGTCGGACCCACGCCTTGGACCTTTCCTTGACCAACGGTAGTCATCACGTCCTGTCTTTAGACGTGTTGCGGTGCTTGGGAAGCTACACTCATGAGAGTAGCGTCCGATCTTCTAAAAGCGATAGCATCTTGCCGTTCGCTTGTGACTCAGAGAGCGAGAGTTCTCGCTCTCGATATAACAGAGTTCCATCGGTTCGGGACCTCCTGTTTCCTGTCGTCTCGTAGGACGATAGTTTGACGAGTTATCCTAAGACTGTCTCAGGCTGAAGCCTTCTTGTTC